CTCGTATCGAGCACCACTATTCCATGTGAAAATTCCTTGGCCTGCCATCTTGTCATCAACCCAATCACCCGTATACATGTTCCCATCGGCGTAGTATTTGGTGCCTTTTCCATGTCTTTTCTGGTTTTTCCATTGTCCTTAGTCGTTATTCTTTTATAATGGGAACAATTTACGTCGAGTTTGTTATCAATAAATAGCAACACTTTCTAATATGTCATATTTGAATCAACATATCATATCTACTACCGTCTCCATAGATGTGAACTTTGAATGTCGAAGATTTAAGATTCATTGAGATTTCTATATAAAATTGAAAGAAACGATGATGAACAGTTATATATTTCATAGAAAAGCTACTTTACCGATTTGAGTGTTTGTAGATGCACCAATAGTCATATTGGATATGGCTGATGTAAGTTTCTCCTCGTTTTTATCCGACAATTCTACCAAATGTATAACATCTAGTGACGACGAACCGAGTGGATCACTGTCAACATGAACTCGAGTACCGAGACCTAAAATCACTTCATTTTCTTCAGGAAAATTACTATATGCTGATATGAGTTTTCCATTCTTAGCTTCGATGAGAAATAATGTAGAAGATTGGCCAAGAAATTTTTTCACTACTTTCAGTGTACTCGAGCCTGAAGTAATATTCCACCAAGTTAGCTCCTCACCTTCTTTGTAGTTTTTACTGATATCCACATTCACTCCACGCCATACATTCATATGTTGGCTTGGTAGTTTTTTCAATGCATTATCAAATAATTTCAGATAACCATGCCATGGTACTAAAACAGTTCGATCATTAATTCGAAGTAGTCCATTAAGTACTCGATAAAGGCTTTGTTCGCCCCAGTCCATTGTATATATATAAATAGCTGCTGATTCTTCACGAGTTAGACCATGTTCTGAAGGAAAGTGACATTCAGTCTTTGCAATTTGAATGAATTCATCTAGTTCAATGATGTGTGGTAGAATAGGCTCAAGAGCTTGTCGAAGTGGAAGTAATGGATGAGTGCGATAACCATAAACTGGTGGAAGTCGTGTTGGTTTATGATCAACGTTTGTAAAGCGAAGCATTTCTTATAAGGAATAAAGTGTAGTTACAATGGTTGATCTAAAGTAGTGAATCAGTGAAAGCTCAGTTATTAATAGATGATTCCCAGCCAGACAAGCGTTGAAAAAGCGACGTTTTTAAGCGTTAGAAAAAAAGCTTTTTAGAAAAAATGAATTTCACAATGTTAATGTTTACAAACTTGCTTTTTCTTCAAAAAGCATTTCTTTTCGAACGTGTAAAGACGTCGTTTTTTTCAACATTTGTTTGAATGGGTATGAATTCTTCAAACGTATAAAGCAAATATACCCAGTTAGACAACGGTGTGGGTGCGAATGAGAGTAAAGGAAGTCCGTGATCCTCATCCACACGCTAAGAATAAAATTTACTAGAATAAAATTATTTAAATCAAATGATTTGAAAAAATCCTAACAGTTTGTGAATCTCAAATGGTATTATATGTGCGACTTAAGCTTGTTTTCACCGAATAATCCGTTTTGTGTGTTTTGCAAAATAACAACATTTGTTACTTTTTTTCTTTTTTCTTCCAACTATGCATTTTATTGTGACAGAATGTACAAAGATTGAAAAAAAGACATTCAAGCTCC